CTTGAGCTCGGCTGCTGGGTTTTGCTCAGGCTGGAAAATCCTGAGTGCCTGCAAGGCCCTGCAGTGACAGCAGTGTTCCTGGGTGGAAATCCAGCGGGCACACTGTGGGACAGGTCAAGCCTCTGTTGCCTCTCCTCCCACCCCAAGACTCACTACATGAATGTTTTTTTTATTAACCTTTTCCAGAGTGAGAAGAGCAAGGGGGAGGTCTCCCACCTGAATATCAAGATGCGTCAGCTGGGCCGTAAACACACTGAGCACAAGGCTGGCCATGGTGCTGGCCCTGGCACTGGCCAGCTGCAGAGCCAGAGGCTTGTGGAGACTGTGTGGCTACAAGGAGCAGAGACAGCTGCAAGTCTGGAGCACCACCAGCAGCATGCAGCGTGTTGGATGGAGATGGAGCTGCTCCGACAGCAGCTGAAGGCCTCCCAGGAGAAGGTGGATGTCATTCAGTTGGTAGCAGGCTGCTGAGTAGTCCATGTAATATTGATATTACCCTGCTTGGGGCTGTATTGGACCCTTTCCCCAGGCAGAAAAGGCTGTCCTCTTCCTCTTTGTGGAGGACAAAGGACTCGCCCTCCTGCTCAGATGTGTCTGAAGCCAGTTCAGGTGCAGCTTGGGACAGGTCCTTGCTTGCAGCTGCCCCTGTGTTGTCCCCTCTGTCCTTCTGTGCAGGCTGGTGGGTAGAGGAGATGGAGGCTGAATGGAGGTAGCTCAGGCAGGAGTGCTAAAACCTGTCACTCTCCATGCCTCAGCTGACAGAGAAGCTAGAGGAGTGGCAGGATCAGGTAGGGGCTAGGCAGGCTGTGTCTAAGAGAAGGGGGACGAGTAACTCCAGTAACTCCTGCTCCTTGCTGCTCAGCAAGGGGAGTATCTCTCAGCAAGGGGTCCCCATTTCTCCTCCTGCAGCTCTCAGTGCTCTCAATCTCTGCCTTTGTAGACTGTGCAGCAAGCACTGCTCCCATGGTCCTGCTGCTCTGCTGTGGCCCTCCTGGCGTGAGAGCCAAGGTGGGGGCTGAACATGCTTCCTAATCTCTCCCCTCACACACAGCACACCCTGGGCCTGTCCCATTGCTGGCATGAAGCTGTGACCAGCTATCGGCTTTTCTGTGTTATAGCTCTTAGGAGCCAAAGCAAGCCTGAGCCTGGCCCAAACTCAGCATGCTCTGCAGTTGCAACAGCTGAAGGCCCAGATGACCAATATGGTGCCAAAGAAACAGTTTGAGCAGCTGCAAACCAGCTTGAGAGAGGAACAGTGCAAGGGTCAGCAGCTCCAGGAAAAGCTCCACTGGCAGGCTGAGCAGGCATGCAGGCAGCTGGTCAGGACCCAGGTAAGCAGGGAATTGCGAGAACTCAGTTGAGGGTACGGGGGAGGGAGCACTGCCCGCCTGGAAGGCAGCTGTGGTCAAAGCCATCAGGTTTTGTTGGAAGATGCTATATATCAAGAGCCCACATAGAAAATGCACTTGATCTTCAAATTCAGCTACAGTTTTCATTCTTCATGAACCCAGTCACTGCCCTGCACTCAAACAGGAGCCCTCCCCGCTCTAATCCACCTACCTCAGACCAGATACCTTGTACCTAGAGGAGCAGGTGTTATCCGGGGAGGCACTCTGTGTTGGCTCAGGCTGGAGAAAGTTGGAGCCTTCTACATGGAGATGTAGCATGCACAGAGCGGGGTGATTTTATCTTTAGGGCACTGGGGAACAAGGTGTTGGGTTTTTGTGAGTTTGTCCTTTGTTTCAGGACACTGTGATTCAGTTGAACTAAACTGGGCAAAGATGGAGCAAATTAGAACCTAAGGAATTAAAATGAGCAGACACAAAAACTGCATCCAAGGAAACTGTCTCTTCCTGGGCTTTTCTAGACATGGCTGAGAGAGGGGAGGCCATTGGCTTGTTTTTGTAGAAAACATTGCTGGGAAATCTGTGTCTTGTCTTAAAACTGGTTGGTGCTGACCCAGGGAAGGTTGTACTGCTCTAGACACTTGTCCCACTGCTCTTTGCATCCTGCACCACCTCCACTGATTCCCTTCCACTCTCCTTCAGAGAGTGTGAAGGTCTGTGAGCAGGGCCCTGGGGAAATGCATGGTCCAAGGTTGCCAGGGGCCAGGTGAGTGCTGGGACAAACCAACATTAGGCTTTCTTACCCCCTGCAGGAGGAACACAAGCGTCTGCTGCAGGCAGCTATGGAGCAGGCAGAGGGGCTGGAGCATGATCTGAGGAGTGCAGAAGCTGTGCTCACAGAGAGCGCAGCTCAGCTCAAGGACGCACAGGTGAGTGCAAGGGGGTTAGTGCTGCCTGTGCCTGCCTGGCCGTGACCCCTGTGTGGGGATACTGAATCTTAAGCCTCCTGTTCCTGCTGTAGGCCCAACTCTCCAGGAACAAACTGCTGATCAAAGACCTCCGTGAGGAGAGCAGGGGGTTTGCAATGGCCCTGCAGGCAGCTGAGCTGAAGCAGAAGAGTACTGAGGAGAAGAACCAGCTGTTGGATGAGCAAGCCTCAGCCCTGAAGCAGCTCATTGGAGAAATCACACCAGCATCTCTGAGTGGGTGATGGAGCATCTGCTGTGGCAGGCCCGCCCCGGAGCATGTGGTGGGCCAGCCCTGCCTCTGGTCCTGGCCATGGTTTGTCAGGTGTGGAGAGGGAGGTATGGCTGGGTTGTGAAATCAGCCTTGTCCTCCTGGGCCTTGCTGGGATTTTCCTGGGTAGAAAGTAGAAAACAGAAACCAGACAGAGACTTTTCAGGAAATTGGTCCTGTGGACAGCTGAATTTTCCTACTGAAAGCACCAGCTTTGGTGGTTTTCTCAGTGGCAGAGTGTGCTGTTGTAAGTCAGGTCTATCTCTAGGCAGTCATCCCACAGGAGCTACCTGCACTCTAACAAGCATGTCCAAACAGTGGTGGTGTGGATACTCCCTCCCTGTGGAGGGTTGCTGGTGGGGCCACACTGATATGGTTGGAAAGCCAGGGCATGAGGGCTTGCAGGTTCCTGCATCTGGCTCACTCTGAGTAGGAAAGCTGTGTTGTGGCATTAAAATGTTTGCAATATTACAGCACCTCCTCCCACAACTTTTGCTGAACTTTTATTCCCTACAGCTCCTCTTGGGCTCTAGGAGACACTGTCCCTCCTAAAGCCTGAGCCTAGGATCCAAATTAACCTACTGCTGGATTGTTGCCTCTGTGGTGAGCAGGACAGAGTGGCTGAGGGAAGAGCCTTCTTCCAATTTGAGCCTCCAAGGCTTGGGGCAGGATTGGTGACCCTTGTTCAGCACAGCACTTCTTCAAGGGAGACTGGGAAAGAAACATGGTAAGTGAACTGAGTCATCTTGCCTTCCTTATTGGCCTTCACATACTGGCAGCGAGTACTGCTCTTGCCAAAATAAGTTGTTTAAAAACCTACAAATTCAAACATTCACATCAGCAAATACTAAATTTATTGATTGCCCTGGGCATTACCCTCTGCATGGAGGATGCATTGTTGTCACCGTGCCCCTGCCTTGCTTTGTGCAGAGCAGAGGGTATTTACATGAGCGCTGTGGTTACCACTAGCTGTGAAAGGACTCCTAGGATCTTGGGGCCTATGGAGACTACTGTACAAAAGGAGACTAGATAAGCCTGGCTGGATCAGGGTAGCAAAGCAGACTGGACAAAGTCAGTACAAAGAAGAGGGCTTGAAATAGCTCAAGCTGTTGTTGGCTTAAGAACAAAAGGGGGCAAATTAGCTGTGAGCTAAAACTCAGCCACTGCCTTTGATTCCCAGCCTGCCAGAGCAGAGTGGTTCCTTGGCCCTGGCACAGTGCCAGGAGATGACTGGAGGCTGTGACTGAGAAGGCCTCCTTGCTCTGGGCATGCTTTTTCTGCCCTGGTGGATGACAGCTGAGACTCCTCTTTCTTTGCCTTGGGGACAGCCCTGATTACAAGAGCCATGAGGGAAGCCCCACAGAGGGCATGGGCTAGCTGGGGCTGGGAAAGCAATGCAGTAACACGCCAGGGAATTATCCTGTTCCTGTATTCTTCCCTAAGCATTTGCTTTTTGGCTTCTGTCAGAGATGAGGTCTAGGCAAACCTTTAGTCTTACCTAGGGCTTATGTTTCTGAAGTGTTACCTCTCAGCCACTACACAAGTATGAGCAGCTCTATTAAGAGAACAACAGGGAGAGCAGCTCTTGCCCTGGTTTTGTGCTAACTGGAATCCTTAAAACCCTATCCTCCCTTTCCCAGCCCTACTCCCAGCAGACCAATGATCTGGGGAAGGAGACTCTTCCCAGAGTGACAGTCACAGCCCAAGTGTGCTGGGAGAAACCTTGGCCAGGCCCATGACTCAGACTGCAGTGCTCGTTCACTCAGCACCTTAAGAAACAACATTTACAGGTCTCTGATGGGAGACAAGGCTTCACATCTAATCCTAGAAAGAAGCTTGTGCAGCCTCACCTGACACTTGGAAGAGCAGCTCCACTGGGACACCTAAATAACCAGCTGAGCATCACCCTGCAGGGTCAGGATGGGTTGGGTCAGAGAGCCAGGTCAGAGTGTTTAACCAACATGGTAACTCTTGAAAAACCCTCAGTTGAAGGCTGAAGCAGTTCTTTATTTTGCAACCACAGAGGCCTCCTGGCTTCTCCAACCCAGTCGGTTGGTCCAATGTGAACAAAGAACTGCACCACACAAAAATGCATTCACAAAACCTGCTTGTAGCTGTGGGGCTGGGATAACACCCCCTTCCCCACTGTCCCTAGCCCTCCCATGCCACCCCCCCAACTATTCTGGATTCCCAGGATTGCAACATTACCAGTATGCACCCTTTGGTCATGAAGAGCTGGCCAAGGTGGTTTGCATACTTTTTAAACTCAGTGCTGATCTTCATCTCAGGTATCAAAGGCTGTTAGGAGGTGAGGCAGGGCGCCCACTGCAGCAATACTGAGATGTCTGCACACAGCAGAGTTCAGTCCCCACTGTGGGCAGGCCACCAAGAAAGGGTTGTCCCTCCTGTCCTGCACACTTACGACAGAATGTGCTCGAGGACTCCTTGTCTGATTAACTGCTCGCATTTCCAGCGGGGTAAGAAGTGCTGCACAGAAACAAAGACAAACTATCCTTGAAGCCCAGAAAACTGTGACATGCTGTGAAGCTAGGATAAGCACAGGGATGTCATGAGAGCGAAAGGGAAGGAAGAGAACAGACCACACTCTCTTGTGACAGGTACCTGGCTATTCTTCTTCAACAGGACGATGGTACCATCATCGATCTCAAATTCTCCGTAGTCTCTTAAACACCGCACCTGCAAAGCACAATCGCAGCTCTTGGATCATCAGATGACAAATTCCTACCCACCTGCTGGAGCCTCAATGTAGAGCAGGCATGGAAATACAGAAGTGGGCTGATCACAGTCTGTGAGCTCTACCTGACCTTCTCTTCCTGCCCTGAGCAAGAAGCACCAGGGAGCAGCCCAGCTCTCCACAGACAAGAGACAGGGTCTGGGGAACAGCAGCAGCATTCCCAGGGGAACCTCCCCACACACATGCCAGAAAATGCCGATCTGCTAACAGTGACACTGTCTTAAGGAGCAGGTTGGTTGTCACTACATGTTCTTTTGAAGGGAACATCGGAACAGAGCTCTTCAGCTACTGACTCAGATTTCTCACGTGCTCTTGCTTTGTTGTATCAATTGTGTAAAACAGTTTATACTCTCTTCTATCAGAGTCCATTTAAAATAAATAAAACTAATTAACAAAACATGGGAACAGTGGTTCTAGTTGATCTGAAAGTTGGCTAAGTTTCTGCAAGAAACTTCTCACTGGGATTCAGACCACTTGCCCCACCACACCAGTTCCCAGCAGACTAGACATGCCATATTTCAATAGACTTTGGGCCTTCAGTAGAAGAGGGAGTAAATTGCTGGCAGGCAGAATGTAAAGAGTAAAAATGTAGAAGCTTTGGTGCTCTCAAAGGCTTTGCTCAGTGACCTTCTGACTTAGGATGGGGATGAAATTCTCTTAAAAAAAAGATGGTTGGGCAAAATGTTTGTTCACAGACAGAAACAACCGATCTTGCACTTACTTCAATGTACAGGCTTTTAGGAGGTTTTATGTCCTGTGTAAGGTCCAGCCCCTCCTCTCCTCCTACTGACCTCATGTAGGTAGCCAGAGACTTTTTGTACCGGTTGAACCACTCCACCTGCAGACATTAACAGCGATCCCTCAGGCAAGGCTGAACAGCTAATGCTGAAAGACAGGTCCTGCATGAGTGAGATCTAGTTGTCTGTGCGGTCAGACCACTGTTCCCAAGCATCTTCATGCCAGTCAAAGGTGAAAGCAAGATCTTCTAAAGGGAAACAGGGCAAAGCAATCTGGAGGCAGGGCAGGACACATGTGCTAATGTTAGCAGCTCTGTACATCGGTCTAGACGTGGCATCTGAGAGCAGCGTGTGAAGACCTAGTTCTGCTGGCTCCAGTCTGAGCCGGGAACACCACTTGTAATGCACAGTGCCAAGCACCACCTGCACTCAGTATCCATTTGGGATTGTACCCATAGGCAGTGAATGAATAAATCAGTATTTACAAAAAGGCATGTAAAGTGTCAGGTTTATAGTGGGGAAAGAGAAGTCTACCCTATTTTGCCTGTACTACATACAGATAAACCATCAGGAGGAATAAGTGGAAAGAGGGGAAGAGTTTTGAGACAAGGCCAACTCACTTCCTCAGCTGACATGTGAAACTGGATGGTGTTTGGCAGGATGCTGCCGTACTCCCACCTTAGTGCTCGGATCCGCAGCAACCGGTCGTACCTGGGGGTAGAAAGAAGGGGCAAACCCAGCACCTTTGCTGAGGCGAGCACTGGCGATATTCCCCGGCAGTACTGACACCCCAGTCTGCCCTCAAAGCAGAGAGCAAAAACTTGAGTCATTTCACCCAACTTTCTTTAACGGATGCGATTTTTGGCCTATCCAGTAACTAAAACTTTTAAAGAGCAGGAGAAAACAGGGCCTTCTCTTTGTGCTAGCATTTGGTGGTACCGGCCACCAACACAAGGAGAGCCCACCCCACAACTGCCCTGCTACTGCACCCCGCAGAGGAACCACTTGCCTGGGCCGAGAGCCCCAACACCCAGCGCCTGGGGACCTTGTCTTTTGGGGGCTGCAACCCTGTGCCGATGGGGATGAACCAACGCTCAGAGCCCCCGCTGGACCGCGGCAGCCCCCCCCTCCGCCTTCCCCCGCCGCACTCACAGGTAGGCCAGGACACAGCGCTGGTTTCGAAGAAGGCAACAGTGCCGAAACCGGATGAGGAAAATCAGGTCCGTCCGTCCCGACTTGGCTTCGGACCTGGAGGAGAAGGAGCCGCGTTACAGAGGCGTGGTGCGGTTTGCGGGGACACACACGCACACAGACGGCCGGGACCGGGCGCGACACTC